CATGACAGGTATTGTGTGTCAGGAGTGAGGTGTTACTATATTTGGGCATAAATGGCCGTTCCCAGACTCAATGATCACTACTAAAATTATTATTTTTATTTTTTTAATGATTAACACTAAATTCATTAAATCACTGCGAGCCTATTAGTTTTTAGGTATAGATAATGATCTTTTGATTATTCTTAGCTGACGGACTTTTCCTTTAATGATCAGGGGGCTTGGCAGGAGGCAGAAGTCAAGGGGCAGAAACAGGTTTGTTGTCCAGAAAGCAGAGAAATCCGACAAGGGCTAGGCAAGAGGGGAAATCCGTGAGGTGAAGATGCGGTTGGGAGATTGGTCAGGTAACACAAAGTGCTGGATGCATCTTGCTCAAAATCTCAAAAGGATTGATTTTTCATGGCTCTTTAAAGCTCTTGCATGCAAACCCATCAATCCACCAAACCTTATGTCTCTTTCAGCTATTTATTTACAATCATGATATATTGAATAGAAAGTTAAACCATACAGATGTTATCATTTAAAAAAAAGAATAACACATTTGCAAAACACAACCACTGGCTTCTGTCAAACACAGAACAAACAACAGGTCACAGTAAGCAGAACTAAACAAGCAACATTAGATCCAATACAGTAGGTTAAAGGAAAAAAAACTGAAGCTTTTAAGGAAGATGAAACATTAGAAGCATATGAACTTAAACTTAATCAAACACTAAAGAGAGAGCTGATGAATTTGGAAGTAACATTAATGTCTTCCCTGCAGTAACTGACTCTCTTAGCATCTTTATTTTTTTAAATCCAGCTAAGATGGTCTTGGAAGCTGAAAGCTAAAAGCTTTAAGAGACGAAAATAACATTGATGAACTTTCTAATAATCACCAACCTTGCATTTGGGATATCACTAACACAGAAGCTGACGACTGTTAAATGAGAAATGTTAGTTTTGGTGCAACACGTCCACCCGTACATTTTCACAAAATAATCAGCTGCTTCTTTTTAAAGAAACACAACATAATTTCTGATCTAAATACTGGTATAAGTTTAATTTTGGACATATTAAATGATTTTTCAGGGTAATATACAACACTTTGTGTGCATAAATGCTCCATGCAGGATTCTCTTCTAAGAAACTCTCTAGTGAAACTTTAGAGCAAACATCCCCAAAGTCGGTCCTCAAGGGCCGCTGCCCTGCAGGTTTTAGAGGTTTCCTTGCTCCAGCACAGCTGGTTTTAATTGAAAACTGATTAACAGGCTTTTGCTCAACTGCGATCATCATAATCAGCTGTGCTAGAGCAGGAACATCTCTAAAACCCGATTGCCCACAATCTTTTGCATGATAGCACATATAGGCACAGCCTAGTTTAACGAAAATACATTATTTCTTCACTTGTGCTCTGCATGATGGTAATGTAATTTATGTTATTTGTAGTTATTTGTAATTTATGTTATTATTTACGTGTCAGTCACATAATGACGTCCATGAGGCTCAATGCTGTCTGTATTCACCACAGCAGTTTGGAGCTCCATTACTAATCAGTATAGTGTTCCTACTGCCAGTGCTCCATAATTCAGGCCCAGAAAATAAAAAAAGCCTGAACAGAGATTAGTTCCAATCATTTGCATGTTCGGCTCCAAAACACAAACTAGGAGCTAATCACCTGGTTAAGTGAACAGGAAGAAGGAAAACTAGGCAAGGTTTTTACTCTGCTGTTGATCCCACAAAAGGTGAATATATACGAGTTAGATACAGGAGCAAGAAACTATAGTTAAAAGTATTTGGATCAAGCCCACTTCTCAATCCTTATATAAATGGTTGAAATGTTATTGAGTTGTAGGAAATGTAGTAGCCCACTTCTCAATCTGCTAGTCCAAAGTGGTCTACTATCAGAACAAGGAGATGGGTTGTTTCATTTGGTGACAGTGCAATGATGCCGGTGGCCTTCAGGGGAAATTAACTGAAGAGTTATCAGGCTAGCTCCCCTAGTGGCTAAAAAAAACAATGTTGCGACATGTAATAGCCTAAGTGTCACTACCCGATCCGTCCGAACAGAATAACTTCCGATTAGGTGATACTTTTTCTTACTTTTTTATTCTTTTATCGTTTTCCAGCGGAGGTTCCTTTTGAATATATTTGTATTAGCATAAATATTCCATATTCTAAAAGGAAAAAAAGTAATACACTTAAATACACTCGTTTTTGCTGAGCATGTCTGATAATTATCATGCAATACAATAGAGACAATGTAAAACGTATCCATTTCTTCCAGAAAAGTCTTCAATATTTTCTATACAATGTAGGTTAGCATTCTTTAAGGTTTTAAGTATAGAAATAAGTATTTTTAGTACCGTTATTACGTAGTTTTTCTGCGATCTGAATCTTATTATTCTGATCGCGCATGCGCAGGACGGATCGTGCTTCTGCGACGCATCTGGTAGTGACACTAAGTGACAGCATATTATAAAAAAGCATTAGCATTAACTACCATGAAGAAGTAGGCTTCAGTTTTGACTAGTCTGTGGCTAACCCTTAGCTTTAGCAACCAGCTGTGGCTAAGCTATTAGCCTTACAGCAGAGCCATGCTTCAACATTTCTTACCAATCCTTTTAAGGTTGGTTTAAAGTGAGCAACAACCTTTTTACGTCACTTTTGAGTTATTTTCTAAAAGACTTTTAGAATCAGAATGATATGTTAGCAATTGCAACCACAAAAGAACAGATGTAAAAACAAGAAAGAAATATCTATAAAATCTCAAAACAAAAGCGATGTTTTATATATTGTTGCTTGTTTGTTGCTACATCCAAGTCCTAAAATCCTTATATAAATGGTTAAAATGTTATTGAGTTGTAGGAAATGTAGTTTTTTTTTTTCAGGTTAATATCAGTAAATCTCTCATCTTTTATTTCACTTTCATTGGATTTAATACATATTACTGTGTTCTGAAGTTTGCAGACCACATAGCAGCTGGGCACAACTCACTCACATGAAACTGGAAACAAAAATATCAGGAGGGAGCCGCGTAATTTCATTATTACTTCCAAAAGAACCTTTTTTTGGTTATGTATATCGAATATATTCCTTCACTAATATGCCAACACATATGCTTATCTGCTGTGATGTAGAAAAAAAAAAGTTACAGACACATTGATTTATACAAAGGGATGCAACATTAAAGTATTACAAATGGCAAGATAAAATATTACAAATAAAACAACTGTTCCTGCAAAGTGACTCTATAAAGACTTCTTATGCAAACCATAAATTGTATGAGTAAGGGGGGGGGGTCATGTTAACGGATGGGGGCTTTCAGGGCAGCATCCACCTCTTCCTCGGGCAGCAGTGTGTGCCACTGGGCCACAGGACGTCTGGGATTGGCCAGCATGTCTGACCAGTGACGCAACCCGACGCCTGAGGCACCATAGCCGATCCAGCACTTCCCGATGGGATCGTTGCTGCCCAGTTTGTCGTAGTCGTACACCGTGATCAGCACCTGGATTTTCTGTTTGTGGAGACAAGATAGGGTTAAAGGTACATCCGTTGAACGACTTGCTTAGTTCTTCCTATTTTCATCCAATATTACATTTAAACAGCAGCAATCTCTAAATAACACAGTCTTTGAGAATGTTTTCGATCTCAAGGTGACTAATCTTTTATAACATCTAAAATTGCTTAAAGGAGAATTCCGGTTTTTAACACTTTTAGCCCATTTTCTGTAGTGTACAGGATGAAATCGAATGATCGACACCAAAATTTTGACAATTGGTCCTGTCTCTGCTTTTTGGCTCATGCAGAATCCCCCCCTGGCTGCTTCAGAATGGCTTCCATAGTGCATGTCCGATAATGTCCTTAAAACAACCTTAAACGTTCTTTTTTTAAAATATGCTACTCACCGGGTCGTCAGCGCTGTTCAATGACGTTCCAAAAAAAGTTTCGTGAAGAAAAACCGTTCCTGTCTTGTTTTATTTAGCATTTTGTAAATCCCAGAACTATTTTTTCCGATACATCACAACCGCTTATAAACTTCCGCTTCCCGTTCGAATCTGAAGCGTTGCACACTCCAGACCACTAGTTGGCGACAATGTCTCTATATACTCCTCCTCAGTATATTCCGGTTCAAAACGGTATCCTCTACCGTCAAACTCAAAGTCCAATATGTCCTCCTCAAGAATCCACCTTTCGTATTCCATTTTCAGAGTTTTTTAAAGTGTTTAACAGAGACGTTAGCACCTCGACGTCGGAGTACACAGAGTGAAGCGAAAAGACTACAACTAAGTGTAGTCTTTTCCCCATTTCCGTTTCCGGTGGCAGAGGGATATTGACTATTCCAACAGAACTCAATGGGATTTACAAAATGCTAAATAAAACACTACAGGAACGTTTTTTCTTCACGAAACCTTTTTTGGAACGTCATTGAACAGCGCTGACGACCCGGTGAGTAGCATATTTTAAAAAAAGAACGTTTAAGGTTGTTTTAAGGACATTATCGGACATGCACAATAGAAGCCATTCTGAAGCAGCCAGGGGGGGATTCTGCATGAGCCAAAAAGCAGAGACAGGACCAATTGTCAAAATTTTGGTGTCGATCATTCGATTTCATCCTGGACACTACAGAAAATGGGCTAAAAGTGTTAAAAACCGGAATTCTCCTTTAATTGCAGGTTTTCTGTTTTTCTATTTTTTCTGTCTCGCTTTTGTGAAAACCATTAACCTCTCCTTTACATCAGACTGAAGAAAATGTTGACCTTTGATCTTAGCAGGTCAAAGATCAAAACTGCAGACTTTATATCTGATATGATCCCATATTTATGTAAAAAGTATTTACTTTTTGATGTCACTGCAGGACGATGTCAGGAGTGAGGTGTTACTATATTTTGGCAAAAATGGCCGCTCGTGAAGAAAATTATTATTTTTATTTTTTTTACTGATAAATGCTAAATTAATCAAGTCACTGCAAACATATTAGTTTTAAGTATAAATAATGATACATTTATTATTCCTCGCTGACCGGATTTTTCCTTTAAACTGGAAAATATACAAACCTGAATTTGAGAGAAGGGAATCTCAAAGCTAAAGCTCTCGTTGAAGTAAGGATTAAGAGTGTTCTGCTTCACCGATGTCTTCTTTTTCTTGAGTCTCTTGCCGTTGTGTTGAAGAACCACCTTGACGAAGGGATCTGAGAGGGAAAGAGACAGGTCAACATAGACTACCAACACTAGTGGATCACCAGCCTGTCGGTATGCAAAAAAGAAATTTTACCTGACAGTCCTCCGACGTCCATTTTTTTCAGGTTCTTTGCTTCCATGATGTTAACCGTTAGTTTACCAGCCGTTGGGACATAGCGAAGGGAAATGCAGATATCACCTAGCTTCTCTTGCTGGGAACACAACATACAACATACAATGTTTTTGTTATTGTCTAAATAAAGGAAATAAACGTTGTTGTTTTTTCTTAGGGAACAAATAAAGTTTACCTCTTCTTTTTCTCCACCAACTAGATCTTTCCATTCATGTATTGGTTGTCCAAGGTCTATGCTGTTCATTGGGATCTTAATTTCACCAATTACATCATGCTTTCCAAAGCGGTCAAAATCGAAAACTTGCAACACCAGAGTTTGACCACCCAGCTCGCTGTAGGGGATCTGAGGAGACAGAGTGTTAAAAGCAATAAGTTAGATAAAAAAAATGGCACTGTAATTTTGTATTGTATAAGTATAGATACCTTAAAGGTAAACGTCTCATTAAAGACAGGGCATAAGTTCTTGCGTTGAACTTTAGTCTCAAACTTCTTTTTCTTATCTGGGAGCATGTAGACTTTAACGTAAGGGTCGGAGGTTCCACCCATGTCCATAGCTGGGAGGTCCTGAGCTTGAAGGATTCCCACTATCAACTGGAGGAGAATACAATGAATCCAGGAAAAAGAGTATAAATATTACATTCAGCAATGAAAAACGTACATTCATCAATCCAACACAGAAATATACAATAAGTGAAAATGAGTGGTGCAGATGCACTGCAAATGCATAAATATGCAGGAAATCATAAAAGTAGTGCAAAAATTAAAATAAGACTGATGCAAAAAGAAAAAAAAAACACTGGAAAAATAATGCTAAAGAGAAAATAGAGTAGCAAAGTGCAAACACACAAATACAAAAGCTGCTACAAACAAAAAAGATGCAAATACATAAAACACATGCAAAAGAAAAATGCTGGAAGTAAAAAAAACAGTTGAGAGTTTAAAAAAAGGCTGAAAACTAGAAGCTTTATTGACCACTGAGGGCAGAAAGTCGCCACGCCACGTAGACCTGACCCTTAGCACAGACATAAAAAAAGTAAAGACATAAATGCGAAGCTCTAGTGTTTTGTTTTGTTTTTTTAAATCAAAAGAAAACTTACATTTTATTTATCGATTTAAATATTCTCTTGGCGCTTATTCTGTTAATGTTTTTGCTAAGGGTCTGGTCTATAGATTGTAATTCGTAGTAATTTCTAGGTATTTTTTGCTTTGCATGTGTTTTGTGCGTTTATCCGAGTGTTTTGCTTGCTAGCCCTAGTTCTGTTTTGCGGCAACTTTATTGATTAATTTTGCAGCCCAAACTTTGCATAGCCTATGCTATACAGCGTAGTTCTAACAAGAAAACCTAATGAACTGTAGAACTCTAGAAACAGAATAGTGTAGAACGTGATAAAGTTAAAATTGATAGGCATAATTATCTTATGGGGAAAACGTTTATTTGATTTATTATTGAGTTAGTACAATTAATTTGGTTTATGACAAAATATGTGCTCAAACTACTTTCTTTTTATTTTTTTTATTGTATTTCATACATTTCTGTCATGATAATACCCCTTTAAGAGGACACGATGCATGATGGGAAAAAGAAAGTTCATGATCTGTGTATATGTTAAAAAAAAATTTTAATAGTATATATACACACATATATATATATATACATATATATATATATATGTATATATATATATACATATAAAGTTGCACACAAGCGGAAATCTATTTGTCTTTTTTAGTTTTTTTTTTAAGGGTGCAACAAAACCATCAGATTTCAGGTTTAATCCTGGGCTAATTCTCTACCAAACAAATTATAAGACTTAAAAAAGCTTCAGAAGAAGTTGTTTTGGACATGTTCAAACTACTGCCGTTCTCTTCTGTAATTGATGTATTTATACACTGACATTCTCTTCCTTTACCTACATTTGGTTAAGCTGTGTCATTTAGACAAGGGGAAGCAAGTAGGAAAACAGTCATGGGTGATTTCCCTAACTTCTGCTCTGATTATATATTTAAAGCTTTCGTCTAGTACAGCAGTTTTCAGATGCACCCTGTGCCTTGAATCAAAATGCTTGTTTTGCATTGAGACTCTGGGTGGCTGCAGCACCCAACTGATGTTTAGTTTGACCCTGACATAAATCACCAGACAGAAAGTCAAAAATCCAATTGGTAAAATTCTACCACATTGGTGATTCTACCACACTAAGTGCTACCCACCTCTGGTTCAACTTGCCCCTTAACCAATTATATCGCCATCTTTGAAAAACTAGAAATACTTTGTACTTTTGTGCTTTACTTACTGCCTGGATGTATTTACAACTGAAGCATCTTTAAATTTTTGATGCAAGGTGCCTCCAAAAAAGGTTTTCCGCCAAAGTTTCTTAAAAGATGGATCTGGTGAACTGACATTAATGGAGACCCAAATGTAGTATCAGTGTGGGAGTATTACATACCTGATTATCAGTAAAATTATAATCCAACGTGTATTCCAGTTTGCCAAAACTCTCCTTCTCCTCTTCTTTCTCTTCATCTCCATCCTGAAATGAAATAACATGGCCGAAAACTGTTGAGGTTTTTAAACTCACACTTTGTTTCTGCAATCCTTTGATTACCTGAACACCTTAGAAAAGCAACATAAACAGAAAAGGAACATAAGGAGTATTACTGTTTTTAGGTGGTTGTGGTAAATCTTTCAATGACTGTAATTGGCTGTGTCTTTCCTGGACGGGGCCGCCTGTAAACCCTCTGAAAACCGATCTATGCCGAGCTTGGATCAGTTAACAGTGGCAAAACTTGGTTCCTTATAACCATTTACACATCACACTAGCGCGGTTCCTTGCCTCCTAGTGACGATCTATGGTATTACCACTCTCTTGAGGTAATCAAGCAAGCCAACATGGCGGCGTTCTTAACTTTCAGGAAGTTATGTTTTGTTATCGTTGCGATATTTCGGTATTTTGCAGAAAGTCAGAAAGAAGGCGCCTTTAGGGAATTTACTTGACAGGGTCGGCTTTGGAGAAGTGGATACGACACACGATATTCTAACCAAGTCAAAACCAAGTGAAAACCAAGTCCAGTGGATATTTTTTGAATTTTTACGGAACGATAGTCTAATCAGACTAATCAATCTGAAATTTTATTATTACGGAGGCTGACTGTAAGGAGATGACCCGGTCTGCTCATGCGCTCTTTGCTATCTGAGAACCGAGCCAGAACTGAACCACACTGAGACCTACTGATGAACTAGTACCAGTTTAAGGTTTTTCAGTCGTGTCTGGCACAGTCAGGTTCAGTTGTGTGTGCCATTTACACTTATCAGTTATCTTAGTTAACATGTTTAGTCCGTTCTCGGCACGGTTTAAAAAGGGAAGTGTAAATGGGGCTTATGTCTAGTGTTATACCGATACCGATACCAGTATCGGACGAGGCCCCGATACTGCACTATAATTGTGGTATTGGTATTGGCGACTACCGACAAAGAGGGCATTGATACCATTTTGAGAGTCAAAATTCAACTATTGTCACCCATTCTAGGTAGTCAATAAAAAGTTCTACTGTATTCACATAGTATTAGTCTTTTTCCTCCTTCACAAAGGTAGGCAGCAGCTTGACAAAGCCATGATGGCAATTATTTCACATCCAAGTTGTATGTAGTTCTTCATATATACACACACACATCAATTTCAAACAGATGGTATCGGCAAGGTATCAGTATCGGCCGCTACTGCACAGCCCGGTATCGGGTATCGGTATCAGGGCGAAAAAATGGCATCGGTACAACACCACTTATATCTGCTTCCCTCTACTTAAACCCCAGTCAGTCTCAGCAGAAGGCCACTCCCACTGGTTCTGCTGGAGGTTTCTTCCTGTTTAATGGTAACTGTATGGGACTGTTACTGTGCCAACCACCTTGATTGATTGGCAGTGCCAAACCCCTTTTGTCTGGCTAGGTGACTTCTCCTCTGGTCTGTTTGCGTGTGGTAGAGACTGACACGGGAGTGGATTTTCACTCCTGTGCCGTCCCACTCCCACAGAAAAAAATTGTGTCCCGTCCCGATCCCGGGCCAGAGTAGAAATCTAAATCCTGTCCCGTCCCACTCCTGGTGAAATTACTCCCACTCCCATCTTGCTCCCAATCAGAATGACTCCCGCTCCTGCACCACTCCCATTCTTGTTGTTTTTGAGCGCGGGTGAAAAACTCGACCCAAAACTGTTGGTTTTTGGGTCGTGTAGTTTTTTTGACTGGCATTATAGTGTAGCCTTCAAGGAAAAAAACTACAAAATGGCGGCGCCAGTACTGGATTTTTTTTCTTTCTATTTTATTTTTTTTTTAGTTACTATTGGTTTGCTCCCGCTCCCGTCTGCTCCTGTTAATGTTTAATCCTGTATCGTCCCAATCACGTCATCGTTACTAATACTGACTCCTATCCCACGGGAATCCCACGGGAATCCCGCAGCCCGTGGGATTCCCGAAAAAATATCAGTCTCTAGCGTGTGGCTTGGATCTGATTGAATTCTGAGTTAAATCAAGCTGCTGCCTCTTTTCAAAGGCAGATGTGAGTCATCACATCTTGGGTTGCATGTGCGTGCCTGCCAAGTGTGATTAAAAGGATCCTCAGTAGTTTGGATTGTTTTATAATTACGTTTTTAATTTGTTTTTCTTGTAACCGTGTGGTTTGTGCTTGTAATTGTTGTTTTGCTTTTTTTCGTCAGGTGCTGTGTACCCAGGCAGCAGTCCAACCCCAGGGTGTGGTATTTCCCTTCCCAGTCTGTTTTGCTGTGAGTAGGTGTGTGAATGTCCTGACTTTATTTTGTTTTGTCTGTTTTTCGATGTCTCTAGTGGAATAATCTCATTTTGCATATTTTTTTCCCAACAAAAACAGGGATGACCTAAATACAAAGGAATGCATTTTATATCAAAGCATCTCTGGCATCCTTAAAGGAACTTGGGATGAGGGGGGGACAGCCTTGAAAATTCCCAACATACAAAACATGCTCTGCGTTAGAGATTGATTTTGAGTCAATGAGTCGATGCAAACAGCTGGTTTTCCTTAGATAGAAAACGTTGAACTGATCTGACTGTATGATCTGGTTGAATTGTCTCTATAAAATCCTTTGAGATGACGTGTTATGACTTGGTTTTATATGAATAAACAGAACTGAATGGAAATTGAATTGCTCAGAAAGAATTTTTACATAAAATTATAAATAAAACAAAATCATTATAAGTAATCTTATTTCAATCCTTTGAAACCCAAACCATGAAAAAAATGACAAAAAAATCGTATTAAAACTAATCATTATCAAACATTTTAACAAAAAAACAACAACATAGACTTTGAATAACATAAATAAGATAAATTATTTAAGTCATTTGTGATACATCAGACATTTCTGTCAATTTGTTATAAGTTTTTCTGCACACTGGATGTTTCTGATTGTATAAATGTGTTGTTCCAGGAACAAAAATATCACACTGATATTGATTAAAGTGTTAAAAACTAAAGACACAAATAACCTCTTTGTTTTTTACTAAAATGGCAACAGATTTTCTATAGCAGATATTTAACAAAAAATAATATGCTGTTTTGTTCAATGTTTTTTTTAATATTTGTGGCTCTAAACGACTTAGTTAGCTGAGCTAGGGGTAAAATGGCTCTTTGGATTTGAAAGGTTGCAGACACCTGCTCTACGTCGAAGAGCATAACTTTCTCCATTTTTTCTTTCATGGTGGTACAACAGTCATCTTTCAATCTCCCCGACATTTCTCGGCTGAGGCTGTTATGTCTCGTCAGAGCTCAGTTTTCTATGATAAACGTCTCATTTTGGACCAGTGATTGTCCTGTTGCTGCAATCACTGTCTGCCAAACTATAAACAAAGCAAACAGCTTGGGAAACCTCTAGAAAAATATTTCCAAGATTACCTGTATTCACTGCCTTACAAGATGACAAGGATAGATACTACTCTCATTTTATGTGCTGAAAAGGTTGTTTCTAGTAAACAGAAGAAAAGAAGCTCATCTATCCGTGACATCATTATGTTTTGTTTGAAACAAATTCAGTCAGGTATTAGGGCCAAGCTAGACATTTTTTAAATTTTTTTATTTAGAGACTAATGTCATGACATTAAGAGAATAAAGACGTTATATTACGAGAATGAAGTCATCGTACAACAACCCGTTTCAGACCTTTTTACTGCTTCGTACTGCTTCTTGTAAGAGTTTTCATAAAATACAACTTGTTTCTTGTAATTTTATTCTCTTAATTTTACAACTTCATTCTCATAAATTTACGACTTTATTCTCGTAATTTTAGGACTTTATTCTTGTGATTTTATCAGAATCTGAATCAGAAATACTTTAATAATCCCAGAGGGAAATTGCTTTTGGTACACACTCCAGTTATAGTTTTATTTATATATATATATATATATATATATATATATATATATATATATATATATATATATATATATATATATATACACACACACATCCAACTACACAATATAATAAAGATAAAAAATAGGAATAAGAAGAGAAAAAATATATACACATATAGCTCTTCTGTATATATATATATATATGTATATCAATGCATATGTAAAAACTAAATCCAAATAAAGTGAATATCCAACTAAAGGGATTTTATTACTTTATTCTCATAATGTTATGACTTTATCCTCGAAATAGAAAAAGAAATATCCACAGACTTGGGAATTAATTAGTCTCAAAGAATCAAATGATCTCTTTTTATTTCAAATTAACTGATTCCGGAAGGATGAGGTTTTTGTCTGATAAACTAGTGTTATATAAATAAACTGGCTTGCATTGTTCTGTTTTTGTGCTGCATTGTATTTTATACAGGTATTGCTTGAAAANATAACAAGTTTTAGAAAAAGTATCTCTTCTTCCTCTTTATTTGATGGAGCAGAGGGATTTTCTTCTGCTCGGAAAAAAAAACCTTTCTCTAAAGTTAAATTGATTCTCCTTTTTTTCAAGTGACATTTTATTTGGGTAAGGTTCCTTGTATCTAAATTTTTCAAATTCAAAGTTGTTGTTTTTTGGGGACTTTCTCCACCGTTCTGTAACGCCATTAAATAAAACCAGCCATCTCAGCAAACCTGTTTTTGGGATTTATCAACAGTATTCAACATAAGCATTTTACTATAATAAGAACGTTGATAAAACATGTTTTGGGTTTTTTTTCTCGGGGGTGGGGTCTACATTTGCAAAATCGTCATCTGCAGCAGGGTAAAGTGTTATTTCTTAGTCTAATGTTATAATGAAGACTTTTTGTGACGTCTGTTTTATGGTTGACATAAAGGCAAAACGTTGAACTTCTGTGTCTATTGCCACAAGACAAATGTTCATTCCAAGTGGTTAAACATTTATAACTATTTTAATATATAAAACAATACAATAAGCGTATTTCCCCTTTGTTTGAGCAGATAAGTAAGACAATTTGCAAATGGAATAAGAAGATTTGTCTTTAATAGAAGAAGAAACACAAACAACTCTGTCTTGATTCAGTTGCATAACATCTAATGACTGTTTTAAAGTTAAAACACAGTTTTGGCTAATCATCTTGTTTGAATTGTTCAAATAAAGGGCACCTCAAGTTCTTTGAATATATTTTTTATTATTGTACTAAATAAGTCTCTGCAGTGTTAGAGTTAGTGTTATTGTTTTAGATATCACAGCCTGCTAGTAAATCTTCAGTCAAAGTTTAACTTAACATGCATTGCGGGATTATATACACAAGCACGTTGGTATTTTAATCCAGGTGTTCATGGATACACAATTATACTTAAGGGTTAGATAACTTTCGTAACAAAGAGCTTCTACATATTTTGTTACACTGTGCTCGAAAGTGTATTATGGCGTTGTGGATTTCTAATAAAGTTCCTTCTATAAACCAGTGGACACGAACTGTGATAAGTATTATTCCAATGGAGGCCTTTTCTACGGCGTTGAAAGACAAACCATTTCTTTTTTACCGGACATGGGACCCTTTTTTGGACTACTTGGATGCGCTTGCAGCTCAGAGAATGAGACTGGGTTTATTAGATTTAGCTTGGCAACAAGAGGACAATTTGTAGTGTTATGTTTGTTTTTTTCTGCTTTTGGGCTCCATTTATTTATTTATTTTATTATTTTATTATTTTTATATATATGTGTGTATATCCTTCTCCTATGTATGTAGAGTTTTACATTTTTGATGTTTTCCTGCTTTGCAAAAAAGTTCAATAAAAAAAAATTATACTTAAGGGTGTCATAGAATGATTCTATAGGGCATTTGGTGCTTTGAGGTCTTGGAGGTCTCGGAATAGGGTGTGTAACATTGGTTGGGCTGAAAATGGCATATTTGCGGCTCATGGCTCTCTGCTGAGGTCTGGTCCAGTCAGTGGCCCAGAAGTCAAGCCTCGAGTTTATTTTAACTCGGGGCTTCATTGTCATGAACCACGGACAGAAGGACCCAGAATTCAAGGAGAGACAGGACGTAGGAACCGGAACTTGAAGCAGGACTTTAAACTGGTCTCCTCCCTGGAGCCAGGCTTACTGGATAAAAACTGAACCTCCCCACATATTGAGCCAAAAACCCAGAGGACTCCGCGGGGGAGGAACAGTGGACAATCAGGAGACGAGACAAACACAAAAACCCTCTTTCCACTGGCAGCTAGGATCCAGGACATGAACCATGAACTAAAACTGAAAGGACAGACTGACAGAAAGACAAGAAATGATCTGGCACTGAATGCTCAGGCTGAACTGAATTTAAACCAGAGGAAACAGGTGAGGGGAATAAATTGTAATTGAGGCAGGGAGGGAAAACGGCAGGTGAGAGGAATTACTAATTAAGGGAGAGCAAACAGGCCAGATCATGACATTCATTTGTATTTAGTTAGAATTGTGCTTAGTTTAAAATTATGAGATTTGCAGAGAAAGGAGGCGTCGATGGGTTTTAAACTTCTCTGTACGTCCATTTCACCCACTGAACTATCGTTATTCGTCTGTGACAATGGAAACTCCGTTTTGCACTCTATGACCCCTTTGACTCTATAGACTTGTAAAAGCTATTCTGTACTTTCTATTCTTTTTTCTTCTTTTCTCTTTTATTCTCTCCTCCCTCAAAAATATTATGCTGATGATGTAGAGGTCTCAGATTTCATTTATCAAATAAGTAGGACTGGGAGTCACAGGGCTGAAGCTTAGACAATTTTAGTCTTAGACATTTTGTATGCACAGAGTGTATACAAAACGAAGTTTAGTTTTTGTACAGCTCTCATGACATTTAAATTTTCTAAACGGCTTATTCCGTGGAATTGGTTGCTGCTGCCAGGCGCCGCCATGATCTGACAAGCTTTTCAGCATTATTCAGCAACACAAATTACGTATCAATTTAATCACCTTTTTCTCCTCCCCGTCCTCTCCGTCCTTATCCTTCTTTCTGCGACCCCTCCCTCCTCCTCCTTTTCTCTCTCTGGATTTCTTCTGCTTCTTTCCCTTATTGAAACATTTCTTATAGATGCAGAAAACAAGGCAGCCGACAAGGGCAAGGACCACAACGACGATGGCACCAACAGCCCACATGGGCACTGTGAAAGGAGAAGAAGGGTTAAAGGCAGCGTGAGAAACTGAAATCAGAGCCAAAAAGATGGATATGCATGTCAGATTAGAGTTTTTTGTGCTATTTATTAGATAGAACAGTGATCATCTTAGCTTAAAACTTTCATTTCATACCTTTAGGCAAAAACCCTCAATATCAGATGCATGGTGTGTTCAATTTTAAATCGTAAAAAGGCATGAAATAGATGTTAAGGGAAATTCTCATTTTTATCACTATAATAAAATCTATATTACACTGTATGGAGTGAATATTTTTCAAACATTGTTGCCAGCAAAGAGCAAGTTTTTTAAATGTAAATTTAAAACCTGAGTAAACTGAAACGAGAAATAAAGAATTAAGCAATTAAACGAAATATTTTAATTAAGAAAAAGGTTTTGAGAGTAACTCAGCAGTTTTATATGATTTTGTTTTTTAAGATTTATTTCTTTCACAATTTATATATTTTCACATATTTATATTTTTGATTCTATTTATTAATTTTTTAAATTTTATTTTATAAGATTTTTTATTTTTATTTCATTTTATTAGATTGTTTTCGATGTATGTTTTTAAGATTTAATTTTACAAGTTGCGTTCTTTTCAAATTGCGTTTTAAAGATCAGGCTTTCTTAACTTCCCGGCCAGGCTTCCCTCTGGAGCGAAGAAGCAGTTATGCAACAATATCTTTACTGGTCAAGAGCGAGCTTTTGTATTGCCTTTGAAGTGGAGTATATGATCTGTGAAAAACAATTTAAAATGAATGAAATAAAAAAAAAATCAATCCAATAAATAAAAATATGGAAATATTTTTTAAAGTTTAATTTCAGATTTTTTTCTCAAATTTCAAAATGTAGACCTGACGGAAAAAACGTCCAAATTGCAGAGGTACTAAATGATGACCCGGGATCAGGAATCTCCAGCATTTATGAAAATATGTAACTGCTTATATAAACAAATACCTGCTTATTTGACTCCATTTGTATGTAGTGGTTAATTACTAGAATAAAACAAAGACAGGAAAGGATAATATCAACTAGAGATGCACTATTTTGCCAAAAATCAAAAATGCATTTTTCCTTTTAACCAAAGTTGTGATTGTAAATTTATTTAGATTTTCCTTTGCATGAACGTGAAGCAGCAGAAGGTTTGGTGGTGGATGCATTTCTCTCTTCCTCTCTGTTTGCCACCAAACCCATTTTTAGTATAAAATGTAAGAGGAATTAGGTGCTAGAGTGAAAAGTTATTATGGTGATTACATTGGTTAATGCAATGTGACTAACTTTACTTTATTAAATTAAGTCCCCAGTCCTAATCACAGCACATGAGTATAAAATTGGGAAAGGAGTGGGAAACTGATGGTCCATCCAGACAAAACTAGTGATACTGACCAATGGGGTGTGAATGGTTGGGGTGGGTGGAAATGATCAACTTTATCATGATACCATATTTCCCAATATAAAAATGTCTGCTCTTGTGTTTTCATCCATAAGGATTAAATTTAATTGCCAACTCCGATCAATATGATGCGATTTTAAATTGTTGTTTTTATACCAATCTAAAACAATCACTAACATCTATACTTCCAGCTGTAGTGTGAACAGCTGATTGTGCTGTAGAAAATTATATCACAAATGTTGCATTAGTTTAATTAAATTATTGCTTGCGATGTGGATCAATTTATTGTTAAACCAGTAGTAACTAGTCACAATGTTTTACCATTTGTAATGAAACTGGCTTTATTTAGGTCCCTTCCAATCCTGTAAATTGGTTCCTTCCAGCTGTAAACCAACCGTTTCACACTAACAACCAAGCAGTTTATCGGTGCACAAAGGCCTGTATTTAATTTTTTTTTTTTTTTTCTCAGTAGCTTAACTGATCCTGTCATGGAACTTAAAGCTCTATTATAACTTCTTTTTCAATTTTCCTCATACCATTGTCTGAAAACTAGTAGGTTTTGCAGCCTGTTCAATTTAAATTGGGGTGATACTTGTTTGTTTTGTTTCACCAAACTTTTTACATGTAAGTTAAAGCAACACTGGGTAACTTTAGCCACTAGCAGCGCAATAGACCTGTAACTTCCAGGATTGATGCCCCTGAAATCATTTGGCATCACTGCACTGTGACAAACGTTTAACACTCCGTGTTTTGGATTCTGAGAGCAGACCAGTTTGGACCAGAACTAATGAGGTCACGTGTTTCCTGGACGGGGCCGGCTTTTACAGCTGCTTTCTGTATCTCTGCTTCTGTCTCCTTGAACCCCAGT